TCTGATAGTTAAACAAAGATGTCTGCTTATCGTAGATATTCATTCTATACTACTTCCCTTGAAAGCACTTGATTTATGCTATAAAAGGTAAAGATAAGATGGCATTTTCCAACACCACTAGTTCTCAAATCTCAAATGGTTCTGCTTGCTTATTAACCGAAGCAAAAAAGGCCATTTTATCAAACATTTCCATCATTAAAAAGGCATAAGTAAAAAATAATTTATGTATATTAGGCATAGCTTATATTTTACTGCCATGGGACCTCTGCCATTGCCGGGTGGCCACCTCCACTACCGGTTAACGACAAATAAACTATAAGCGGGTTTGATAAATCATAAAAAGATCAACTACTAAAACTTAAGATGGATTGAAAGAATTTTTGTAGTAAAGAAACCAACTAAAGAAGAATTAGTTGAATCAAAATAGTCAGATGAAAAGCTCCAGATGAAAGCAGCTTTTTAGTCCAAACAAAGAGCTTAGAAATTGATCATCTCTTTTTCTGTAATCTGCCTTCGCATGCATTTACTATATTCTGAATTTAAAATCACAATCATAAACAATCTTAGTTCATATAGCATAGAAAAACAACAAAGCATAAATGGTGTTAAGAGGAGTAAATGAAAAAAAAAGAAAAAAAAAATAAAAAAATAAAAAAAAAGTAAATGGAATTCTATTAGGCCTCTTCTCCACTGTTATATGCAGCCCCTTGCTTCTTTGTCAGTTTTTTTGCTATTCTTTATTTCTAGGCATAAATGGTGTTAAGAAGAGTAAATGGAATTATTTTAGGCCTCTTCTCCACTGTTATAGGCAACCCCTTGCTTCTTTGTCATAATTTTTTTTGTTATTCTTTATTTATAGGCCACATATGTAAGAAGGCTTTTGGTAAAGAAATGAAATAAACAATTAGTTCAAACAAATTAATTTATGTATATTAGTCATAGCTTAACAGTTGGACAGTCATTTGAGAATTGCATTTAGATGAAAAGTCAATGCTAAGAACCGAAAATGAGATAAAACACCTATAATGAGATAAAACACCTATAATTCAAATCACAGATAATGTTGTGATGTTAAAATGACATTTTAGTTTCAAGTTATTTAAAAGCAACCTGATATTTCTAAAAGGTACCATTATTCATCAAGCAAATGAATTGTAATTGTTTTAGCATAACATCACCTTATACACCTTATTGTACCATTTTGGTCACTTCACACACTGATCTAATTTAAACAGCACATCATTTAAACACAAAATTGCTGAGAAGTGATTGTTGATCTATTTCGTGTACTAACTATATTAAAGGCACTGTCAACACTAAATTAACATCAACTTCTATGTGGGTGACACACACACACTTAAACATTTTATCAAACAACACATGTGCAATATATAATCAAAGCTGGGTTGTAGCTATTTTCAGAGAGAATCGTGAAAACAGATGAAATGAAGAATTAGAGAGTGCATCTTCTTCTTGGGCACCGAAGATTTTGTCCCAACAAAGCTATGTTGATGTCGTACAAAATTAAAGCAAACCTGAGCCGGTAAAAACATAAAAATAAAAAGCAACAACATTGTTTTAAGAAATTTGGGATTCGATAACCTCAGGAAACCATCATACTTAAGCAATAGAATTGTTTCATAAAGTTGGAAACAATATTACGTAGTAGAGTATTAGATTACAGAACGGAGAATTGAAGAGATGAAGAATTAGATAGAGATAGTACCTCTGGCACTGGGGCAGTGAAATATGAAGCCCTAATGTCGATCCACATCTATATACAGTGGCGTTGTGATTTGGAGGTTTCCTAGTTTCGGTGAAGAGGCGGGCGCTATATTATCGCATAGGATTGAGATGGAGAGTTCTAAACATAAGAAATCAGTCTGGAATCGCAGGGCGTTGAAATCGCAGGGCATAAAGAAGATAAAGATGGAAACCGGAAGGAAGCGTTATTCTTTTTTGGGAGATGAAATCGGAAGGAAGCGTTTTTTTGGGAGATGAAAATGAAGCAACGCCTTTCATTCTCCGTGTGAGCAAATCAACTTAAGTGATTAGAAGACCACGTGGCATCATAATAAGAAAGGAGAGAAAAGTGGAATGAACAACACGTATGCATTTGGAGGGGCAAAATGGTAGTTGGCACAACTATTTCGTTTCTTGTATATAAATAGATGTTAGGACTACACGTATTTTACATTAGCATCATTTAGGCAAATTAGTTGGACACTTCTTAAATGTTAGGACTATATGTATGAGCCTTTGAAGTATACCTATTACTACCTCCATCCCACTATGTTTAGGATAAAGGGGTGTGACACCACTTTTAAGAAACAATGGAATTTTGTGGTTGATATTCATTTGATAAAGTGTGAACAAAGTAAGAATAAATTGTAACTACTCAAATATTACCAAATATGGTATTAAACAAACTTAATAGGATGAACGAAAAATGTAAAACGGGACAAAGTTAGAGACGGAGGGAGTATTACTCCTACATGTTAGCTACAAAGTTGCATTAGATGTTAGGACATTCCATAAATGTTAGATAAACTAATTGGAGGGCAAAATCTAAAAATCATGAATTTTAATGATTGGACTCGATTGCAACTTAAGTAGAAATCAATGTCCATTGAAATGCGTACTTTATTAAAGTAAAGTAAATATTAATTAATTAATCTTATCCAAGACATTTATGATAGGTTGAATAAATGAAATGACATGGAAACATGAGGGCTTGTTTACTAACAGAGATATTTTCCCGTTTTTCAGAAAAGTGGAAAACTGGAAAACAGAAAACAGAAAATGTGTTTACACAAAAAATCTGGAAAAGTGGAGAAAGGAAAACAGAAAATTGTGTTTACCAAAATCAAAAAAATGAGATATGTCTCTCTTTTCCTTAATGAATTGGAGAAGTGACTTTTAGCAGTTTTCCAAATTTGGAAAACGCGGATGCTATAGTGCCGCTGCAATGAATTTGCATACTTACGCCTAGTGTTGGATCCGGTCCCGCTCGGTGTCAGTTCCAGCCTGATCCAGTCAAAGGCCCGACGGTCCCTATTTGGTCCGGTCAAAACCCGACGGTGCGGTCCGGTCATTGACCCGGAGGTTCATGTTCGGTCCGATCGATGGCCAAGCAATCCCGGTCCAGTCCGATCGATGACCTGACGGTCCCGGTCCGGTTGGCGACCCGATGGTCCCGATTCGATCGACGAACCGGTGGTCCTTGTCTGGTCCAGTCCACGACTCAGTGGTCCCTGTCCGGTCTGGTCCACGACTCGACGGTCCCTGTCCGTCCCGGTCCATGACTCGACAGTGCATGTCCGGTCCGGTCCATGACCCAGAGGTCCCTGTCTGGTCTGGTTGATGACCCGACGATCCCTGTCATGTCCAATCCACGACCAAACAATACTTGTTCGGTTTGATCGACTATCAGGCAATCAAGGTCAGATCCGGTCTAGTCAACAACTCGTCAGTCTCTATCTGGTCTGGTCAATGATCCGACGGTCCCCGTCCTGTCCGGTCAACCACCCGGTGGTCCCTGTCATGTCCGATCAATGACCCAGCAGTCCCCATCCTGTCTGGCAAATGACCCGACAGTCTGTGTTTGGTTCGATCGAGAACTGGACGGTCCCGTGCCAGTCCTGTAAATGACCCGACGATCTCTGTCAGGGTTGGTGATTGACCCGATGGTTCAGTCTCGAAATCATTTTTTAAAAGTGAAGATTTTTAAAAGAGCCATTGATGAGTTGTCAACCAATAGGGAAATGAGAAAAGAATTTATCAAACTAACTGTTGAGATCGATCTGGACCAGCCGATTTCGGTCGTGACTTTCTTATATGTAGGCCTGTCAATGGGTCGGGGCTAGACCCAGACCCGACCCGGACCCGATTGTTTTTAATGGGTACGGGTCTATATTTTATTCCGTTTACTCGGACCCGGATTCAGACCCGTTAGTATTTTAAATAAACGGGTCGGGTATGGTACATATGATTCCGACCCGTTAAGGACCCAGGCCCGTTTAAAATTTCTTATTTGTATACACAAACACTAATACATAAAGTGATTAGTTATAACACTTTAAATAAAATAGAAACTAATATACATATATACATAATAATACATAAAGTTATTAGTTGTGATTCTTCAATAAAATTATACACATTAATGCATAACTACTATATAAGTGATACCGATCGAGATAGTAATATACCCTAAAAGCACAATATTTATTACTATTATTATTAATATTATTATATCATTATCATATACTATCGTATAATACTACATATGATTTTATACACTTAGTAGTCCAAGAGACTTTTTTATGACTTAATTTCTAGTTTATTATATGAGCTTTTTGTGCGAGAGAAAGCAACGCAGAGTGTGGAGCTATATGCTTGTACAAGAACCGATACTTTATTAGATAAAAATACTAATTTTCTATGAGAGGCCTTGTTTTTTTGTTGAAAAGTGAAGATATATTTTGCTTTTAAATTTGTGCACTTTGTTTTATATTTCACATACATGTCTTGTTATTTTGACAAAGTTTATAATGGTGTGCGTATCATACATGGCGGGCGGGTCTACCTGACCCGATTCGGGTCTAGGTCCGGGTCCAAATTTTCAAACTCGCCGGGTAAACGAGTTGGGTCCGGGTCCATTATTAACTTAGCGGGTCCGGGTTTGGAACACTACGTTCCGACCCGGACCCGACCATTGATAGGCCTACTTATATGTGGGACCCAGTACCCTACTTGGATTGTACTAGGTTTGGTTCCGGACTGGGATCGTACTTTCCGTCTTTTGGTCAGTCAGAAAATCGGGTGATAAAATTGTATGAACATATTTTCAGATTTGAAACTGGAAAACTAAACAATGAAAAGAAAAATTGAAGATAGAAAAATTGGAAAATGAAAACATAAAATTAAAGAACTGAAAACACAATGGAAGATATAAAATACTCCGTATATGGATTAGTAAATAGGCTATGAATGTTCCATTAATTTCCAATGACATAACGTACACTGTACATAAATATGCGGCCCATAAATATAAGCTACCCTAATTTAGGAAACATCCCAAAACAAGCTAAGCTAGCGCAGCTCCTCAACAGATCTGAGAATCTGACTGCTGTCCGCCTTGCGAGATTCCCCGTCGGATGAAGCTCCACTTCGAAGCCCGAACCTTTCTCTTCTAACCTAACCGATTGTGAAGATGGACTCCACAAGCTCAAAGTTACATCAACTGCAGAAGGCGTTCGCTGAACTCGAGAGTCACCGTGCTGTTGCTCTCAACCTGAAATGGACGCAACTGGAAGAGCATTTTCACGGTCTCGAGAAGTCCCTGAAGAGGCGTTTCACTGAATTGGAGGACCAGGAGAAGGATTTTGAGTCCAAAATCGCTCAATCCAGAGAGTTGTTGGAGAAGCGTGAAGTAGCTGTCTTAGCTAAAGAGAAAGCTTCTCTCGAATGCCTCCAAGAGAAAAGAGATGCTGCGCTTTCTGCTATTTCCATTGCTCTCGGTAAGCACCCCAGCCCATTTTCTGCAGGATCTGATGCTGTTAATGTTGAAGATCCAGCTGGATCATGCGTTCTGGAAGAAAAAGCTTCCGATTCCACAGACACAGCCATTGACATAGTAGTGGACTATGTGAAACCATGCGAGAGTGGAGATGTCGAGCCCAAGTCTTATCCTGAGCTAGTTAGACTATGCAAAGAGATGGATTCAGATGGCCTACACAAATTTATATCAGACAACCGTAAGAATCTAGCTGCTATAAGGGAGGAGATTCCACAAGCTTTAATGGCGGCAGCAAATCCTGCATCTTTAGTTTTGGATTCACTCAGAGGTTTCTACAATTCAGAAGTGTCAGTTCAGGATGCTAAAAAGGACGCCATCCTTCTAGGAATTCGCAGAACCTGTATAATGTTGATGGAGTGCCTTTGCATGTTATCAACTTGCGTCGCAGAGAATATGAAGGAACGCGCTAAAGCTGTAGCTGAAGAATGGAAACCAATGTTAGATGAACTTGACGTTGATGCTAATTACGGGAACTCTTTGGAAGCTCATGCGTTCTTACAGCTAGTTGCTACTTTCTGTATTAACTCGGGATTTGACCAGGAAGATTTAATCAAACTGATACCTATGGTTTCTCGTCGCCGTCAAATGGCTGATTTATGCCGTTCCCTTGGATTGGCTGATAAGATGCCAGGTTTGTCTTGACTCCTGAGTCCTGACTTCAGTACCATTCTTGTTTTCTTTTGATTTCTCATACAGTCAATCCATCTTGGGAAAATTTGATTCTGAGCTTTAAAGTGTCTTACTCTGTAAGATGATGATGATGATGTGTAAGGTGTCATTTCCAGTAACTGTCATTATCTGACGATCTGTTACATACTTATATACAATGTCTAGCAGTAAAATCCCATATATTAAGGCCTATAAGAGTTGCTTTTGCGGAACTTGGTCTTGAAATAGCTGAACCTGCTGAATCCTCTATTAGAATTAATATAAGAATACATTTAAGAAAAACAATTGACAAATTTTCTAGATGAAACTCAACCAGGGCAGTGAAATACACGAGTGTTCATTGAAAAAATGGCTGATTAGCTGAAATTAATGCCTGCCAAATGGGCCAAGATTTGAGTTACCGCTGTTATTTGCTTCATTTCCCTAGTTGATTTGTTGTTAGTAGTTTGAGTTTTAGCTAGCTGCGTTGATGGCTACAGAAGAACAGTTCATCTGTAAATATCTCAAACCTTGGTCTGGGGTTTGGGGAGCTTTATGTGACTAACTGTTTACTGTTTATTGCACAGGTGTTATCAATGTGTTGGCTAGTAATGGAAGGCACATAGATGCTGTAAATCTAGCTTTTGCCTTTGAGTTGACTGAGCAGTTCCCACCTGTTTCTCTACTGAAGTCTTATTTGAATGAAGCATGCAAAGCTTCACCTAGCAAATCTGGAAATACATCTGGTTCACAGGTTTGATCCTCCTACCTTCTTACTTCAATATAGGGATGATATGAACTGACCATAAGCCTCCCTGTGGTTGCTGGAAAATAACTTAACACGGGGAATGTATTCCTTAAAAAAGTCTTGAAGATGAGAAAGATAAGAAATACAAGGTAAGATAGAGATAATTATAAAAATGATAAGATAAAAAGGATGTAAAGAATATATATATATATATATATATATATATATATATATATATATATTCGGGTGCCAAACAGTTGAAAATCTACCTAATGTTCCAAACACAGGAAGTTCCAAAAGAATCCCAAAAATGATATATTCTTGGAAAAAAACAGAAAGGCTCATCTGTTTGGTTGTTTGAAAATAAGTATGGTACTCCGTAATTGTTTTCCATGGAAAATGTTTCTTGTAAAAAATAATTTCATAAGTTACATAACTTACATCTACTGATGTATTGTAATGTTAATGCAACAAAAATAAGGAAAAGCACAGCCGACCAAAGAAAACGACTTCTTCTTTTGAAAAGGGGAATCCTTTGTTCAATCAGAGCAGAGTCAAGGAAAATAGTTTCTTACTTCCAACCCTAAGAATATATTTTCTTCAATATCCAGAATGAAATCAATGAGAAAGAACTAAATGCACTGAGGGCTGTGATAAAATGCATTGAGGACCATAAGCTTGAGGATCACTACCCTGTGGGCGCACTCCAAAAACGACTTCTTCAACTGGAGAAAGCAAAGGCAGTCAACAAAAGAGGAACAGAAGTTGCAAAACCCCAACCAAAAAGACCCCGTGCTAACTGTTTTGTAAACGGGCCCCGATTCGCCAACAATGCCAATGACAAGAACTACCCAAGAATGACTGACAGGTACCCGCAGTATGTTTATGACAGACCATATGCTTACACCGGACTGACTGAAACCCATGGTCCCACGTTCATGGGCACTCCAGCTTACGGAATTTCTGTGCATGGAAACTTCTTTGGGCATGGGTACCATTACCAGACTCCTTACCTGCACTAATCAAAAGCTGTTTTATATGCTTTTAAACCCCCTCCCTGAGTTTGCCTAATTTGAAAACTCTGTGAGCAACTTGTATTAATACTTGAGATGCTATAGCTTTGTTAATTTGTAATATGTTGTAATTGCTAATACTTTGATCCTTAAATATGTACTGTGTTATGGTATGTTCTTATAATTCAGTATGATGAATGCATTCCCACTGTTTAAATGCTCAGTGTTTTCCAATTTCCAGTCCACAAATTTCAAGTTTGAACTTTGAAGTCTTAGCATGACATCCTCGTATGTTACCAATATTTTACAAAAATATTTTGTGTACACATGATCTGTACATGTTTCCTACATTTGTTTGTATCACAGCCTCAGAGGCTGACACAAAAACAGGCTCACAGTACAAAATTTTCAAAACCATATGTATTTTCTTAGGGCTAAAAGGTCAAATAGGTATATGAACTAACTTAAAGTGTTCAATTAGCCCCTTATATAGGAGGTTCTGCCGGTCGTTGCCAATTGGGGAAATTTCCGGTGGAATTTTTTGATGAAATTTTTTGAGTCTAGTTTACTCATACCAAATTTCAGCTAAAAATTCAACCGGAAAGACAGTCAAATGATTTTTTGAAGATAACTACGCAGTTAAACAGCACAGTACATTTCGGAAAATCATTTGTCTGCCTTCCCGATTTAATTTTTAGCTGAAATTTGATATGGGTAAACTAGACTTAATGAAGAAGATGCTCAAAAAATTTCATCAAAAAAATTTACCGGGAACCGCCTCAGTTGGTGACGGTCAGGCAGAACTTCCTATATAAGGGACCAATTGAACATTTTAGCCATTTTCTTAGGGTATGTTTGTGAGTTTGAAGGAAGGGGAGGGGAAGGTTGTGGAGATTAGTCATTGAAAGGGTACAGGAGAGGAAGAGTTGAAAACTCTTCTTCTTGTTTTGGAGTATCAAGTTGAAAAGATAAATGTTTTCAATGAACTATAATTAAAAATCATTTCACCTATACTCTGTATAACAGAGCTTGTGATATGTCCTTGACAGGCTGGCTCAAAAGCTGAATGTCATTTTCCATAATTTTATGTACTTTTAAGCGTGTCATAGTTTTTTTGAAAGGTTTTATTAAGACTCATTGTTCCAAGGTTAATCTGATAGGAGTAGTTCATATATTAATATACTACATCCGTTCCTATTAAAACTTACAAATGGATTGGGCACACAATTTAAGATAGTGAGTATTGTGTGGTGGAGAGTTGTGCAGAGGAGAGAGAAATGTGTAAGAAACGTTGTAAACCACAAATTCTATATCAAAAAAGGAAAAGTAGAAATTTTAATTGGAACGGACGAAAAAGGAAAATTGAAAGTTTATTTAAGAACCTAGCACTTTATTGCTTCACAATTGTGGACTTGTGGTGTGGGATTTCTAACACCAGTATTTTCGTGTTGGAAAGTAGGAGTAGAAACTACCGGTAAAGAATTATCCGTGGGATTGAATTATTGGTCAGTGCTTGCTCTGTCAAGTTTTGGCACATTTGACCATATTTGGTCATATTGCTACAATGTTTTGCTGTTAAATGATCCGTTTGTTCTAGTTCCAAAAGAGCTACAATTAAACCTTCCTCCCTTTCAAAAAGATTGATACATTTGATTTTTCTTGGTCAATGATGGCAGGGCCGGCCTAAGTCCAATTTACCCAACCCAACTGCACAGGGTCCAAAATTTTGGAGGACCCAAAAAAAAATAAAAAACTAGTATTAGTACTCTAGCCCAAACGATTTGCCAACAACCTGCAAGAGTTAAACCCTACGAAAAATGCTTGAAGTACAAACTGCGTGGGCCAAACGGCCCAAACTTACCGTCCTAATCTCGCCAACTTGAAACCTGCGTGTGTTGCTCGACTTGGAAACGGGAACGATGCAAAACCACGGTGCTCTGGAACGACGAAGCCACGAAGAAGGAGTGAAGCCACTGAGAGACGAATGCCGCCAGTCCCTCCACCTAGCGCCAGCGCCAGCCCGCCAATGACCCACTGTGCCTTGCCTCCATCGCTCCACGAGTCCGGTCAGTCCACTGATTTTCACTTTTTTGATTTGTTTAATTGCGAATTACTGTGAATTGTTGAATTGTGAATTGTTTGTTGAATTGTTGAATTGTTGTTATATGTGTATTTTCAGATTTTCTCATTAAAAAGTCAAAGCTTCTTCCATAGGGCAAGGCATTTATTTATTTAACACTAATTGATGAACTCATTAGATATTGAGATAACACAAAACTTCAAGAACTCAAACGCCAATTGCACCGCCTTGCCGGAAAATGAATTTTCCTTTTTTTTGAGTTTGTAATCTAAACTCCTTATCTTAAAGCTTAAATTAGCTTTTTTATTTAAAAGTTGGAAACATGTACAAGATTAGGGGATGATTTGACAATTGCTAGTGATTATACATACTTCTAAAGATATACTCATCTAATCATCTGGATATGAGAACCTTAAACGGAAATGAACATTAAACACTTCAGAAGTTAATGTTAAAGTTCCAGGTCTTAACGGTTAATCCAATCATTAAAAGTTCGGTATATAATTTTACATATAAGTATGTTCGAAGAATATCCATTTTTGTCTAACATATATTTTTTATTTTGACAGTTTTATTAAATAATACTCCACGACTTTTATTTCAACGTAAAATATAAATAAGTTATTCTTAATAAATCTTCATTTTGTATATATCTACTTGTTTTACAAAAGGACCACTTTTTATTGTTGCACAGAGCCTCCAATTTTATAGGACCGGCCCTGAATGATTGTTAAGTTTGACCAATGATATATTTTAATACAAAATTATTTAAAAAATGAAAATTATGTGAACATATTCTTCATTAAAAAATCTTACATAAAAGTATAAAATTTATAAATTATAAACAAATATAATACCTAAAATCATTGTTTAAACTTTACCACCATTGATCAAGAAAAGTCAAAATGTATCCATCTTTTTGGGACAGAGGTAGTACTTTTTTTTTAAGTTGCTCATCACTATGTCCTATAATCCTCCATAGTCCCTACTTTTATTATACTCCGTAACTTGTACTACCTCCGTCCCACTATGTTTGGGACAAAGTGGTGTGACACAACTTTTAAGAAAAAATAGAATTGTGTGGTTGATATTGAGTTAATAAAGTGTGAATAAATTAAGAATGAATTGTAACCACCCTAATATTACCAAATATGATATGAGATAAACTTGATGAGACAGACGAAAAAGGTAAAACGGGACAAAGTTAGAGGGACGGAGGTAGTATTTAACTTGCCAATTGAATATATTTTCCGACTCCATAGAATTCTGTTGTTAATGATTAAAATTGTTTGTTAGCACTTAGCAATTAAATAAAAAATATATAGTGCTAAGTTTGTCCAAAACAAGTTTTTCTTTACTTTTTTCATTTTATGCTTCCTCCATAGGATGTTTTCCTCTATTTGTAATAAAAGTAAGAAAACATGGACCCAATATTATTGTTGGTATTTGCACTTCCAAAACTATGACTCCTTTTAATTTTGGTGATAACTCCGGTACCCATTTTAAAAATGGGATACCGTACCTATCATTCACTTGAGTGATTCACATCATTATATCATTTTTAATTTAGATTTAAATAATTGAACTGCAACACTGTCATTGGTCCATGTGGACAAAGATATGGTACCTTAGGCCATCTCCAACAGTTTACACCATTTTGTACACTAAAATGGTGTAAACATCACATTATACAGTATTTTATCTCCAACAGTTTACATCATTTTCATCACCAAAAAGGAATATTTCCTTTTTATTCTTTTTACTAACTTTTTACCATTCTTCTATTTAAGTATGTAATTATCATATATTTATACTGATGGAGTATATGGCCCGGGAACCCCGGTCCACAGACTCCTACTACTCCAATAAAGGCCCAATAGGCCCAGGAAGCACAACATGCCCAAATCACGGCGCCCAGAGTACCAAGCGGCCCACAGTGAGCGCTAGGAGTGCCTTTGCCCCCCTGGCCGAAAGCTCTGATTCTCACAGGAGGGTCAAAACAGGAAAACAAAGTTACTGGGAGAAAACGGCGAAAATCAGTAGCCCTCGGCACCTAGAGCCCTCGGCACTAAGGAGGTCCCCGGTACTCAGAGCCCTCGGCTAATCACCTACAGCCGAGGGCACCTTTTCCGACATAATATCCGCTCCACATGCGTATAGATCACCGTACCAAGTACGACGTCACATCCAACAGCCGCATTAAATGCGGCCACATGCGGTTGCCAGCGCCAACCAGTTGAGGTGACCCCTCGGCCAATGGGTGCTTGACACGTGTCCCTGTCTGGCATTTATTACTACTATAAATAGCACCCCATTTCCCCGTTGTAAACCACGCTGAAAACGCTGAATACATTTTCTAATATACTCTCTCTCTACTTACTTGCTCTGGCTTCTCTCTAGTTATTCCCCGTAATAACCCTTCGGATAAGCTACCCCCGGGTACACTATCCATCATTTGGTGCTCTCGTTGAGAGGTCGAACAATCAAGTAAGAAACCCTCCCCCTCGCCAAATACAAAAACACCTAGCAAAGATAGTGAGAACAACTCGTGCCAACTCCAAGAATGTCGAGGACAGGAACCTGGCCCTCGACGAAGTCGACGTCCCCGAAGCCTCTAACAGGGCTCCCGGGGGCGACGTCATCGCCGGGTTGGACCAGACGGCTGTCGACCTACGCCAGCAAATTCAACAGAATGCCCCCGATGCCCGCCTCGGCATCGAGGCCAAGAAGAAGGACCGAAGCGAGACTCAAATTAGCCCTCCGGTCATCACAATCGACGTGCAATCGGTGCTCTCCGCCTTCATCCAAACGCTCACCCAGAACCCGGGTGCCTTCGGCACTTTGGTTCCCCTCCAACCTCAGGTCGGGGAGAATATTATGCCTCCCCCTCATCCACACCCCCTCAGGAACCCGGTCCTCCGCATTGAGAACTCCGAGGGGCTCGTGGTTCAAGATACGGCCTCCCAGGAAGTCCAGTCCCGGGACCGCCACAACGTGAACAAAGAACAACTCCAGACCTCCGCCTCGAGAGACTTGGAGGGGCGCAAGACCGCCGAGGGGTCCAAGACCGCCGAGGGGTCCAAGACCGCCGAGGGGTCCAAGACCGCCTCGGGGGGAAGGCGTTCCAGAGGCCTCAGGAAAGTGGTGGATCCGT